CCTTGCCAGCTCCAGCTGCCTTCTTGTCCACTGCTTTGATGACACCCACAGCGACCGTCTGTCTCATGTCATGAACAGCAAAACGGCCCAGAGGAGGATAGTCAGAGAAGCTCTCAACATACATAGGCTTGCCAGGAACCATATCAACAATGGCAGCATCACCAGATTTCAAGAACTTGGGACCATCTTCCAGCTTTTTTCCAGATCGACGATCTATTTTCTCCTTCAGCTCAGCAAACTTGCAAGCAATGTGAGCCGTGTGACAATCCAGCACAGGTGCATATCCAGCACTGATTTGGCCTGGATGGTTCAGGATAATCACCTGAGCCGTGAAGCCAGCTGCTTCCATTGGTGGGTCATTTTTGCTGTCACCAGCCACATTGCCACGACGAACATCTTTGACAGATACGTTCTTGACATTGAAGCCCACATTGTCCCCAGGAAGAGCCTCACTCAAAGCTTCATGGTGCATTTCAACAGACTTTACTTCAGTTGTAACATTGACTGGAGCAAAGGTGACCACCCTCCCAGGTTTAAGAACACCAGTCTCGACTCGGCCCACAGGGACAGTACCAACACCGCCAATTTTGTAGACGTCCTGGAGAGGCAGACGCAAGGGCTTGTCAGTTGGACGAGTTGGTGGCAGGATGCAATCCAGAGCTTCAAGCAGTGTGGTTCCACTGGCATTCCCATCTTTACGGGTGACTTTCCATCCCTTGAACCAAGGCATGTTAGCACTTGGCTCCAGCATGTTGTCACCGTTCCAACCAGAAATTGGCACAAATGCTACTGTGTCGGGGTTGTAGCCAATTTTCTTAATGTGGGTGCTGACCTCCTTAACGATTTCCTCGTATCTCTTCTGGCTGTAGGGTGGCTCAGTGGAATCCATCTTGTTAACACCAACAATTAGTTGTTTTACACCCAGTGTGTAAGCTAGAAGGGCATGCTCACGGGTCTGCCCATTCTTGGAGATACCGGCTTCAAATTCACCAACACCAGCAGCAACAATCAGGACAGCACAGTCAGCCTGAGATGTGCCTGTAATCATGTTTTTGATAAAGTCTCTGTGTCCTGGGGCATCAATGATGGTCACGTAATACTTGCTGGTCTCGAATTTCCACAGGGAGATATCAATGGTGATACCACGTTCACGTTCAGCTTTCAGTTTATCCAAGACCCAGGCATACTTGAAGGAGCCCTTTCCCATCTCAGCAGCCTCCTTCTCAAATTTTTCGATAGTTCCTTTGTCGATCCCACCACATTTGTCGATCAGATGACCAGTAGTGGGAGACTTGCCCGAATCTACGTGTCCAATGACGACGATGTTGATGTGAGTCTTTTCCTTTCCCATTTTGGTTTAGGTTGAGCGGTGGTTTTCACGACACCTGTGTTCTGGCGGCAAACCCGTTGCGAAAAAGCAGGGCTAATCATTTTTGAGCAACGTGTAGTTTTATTATTCTCCAAATGAGATTGTTTTTTAAAAGGATTTAGAGTTCATAAACACTATCGGCCCCTTCCACAGTGGACCAGGTACTGTGGTAGGCACATTTATGGAGCTTTTCTCTTTTAATCTCATTTAATCATTGACATCATCCAGTGAAGTAGATTTTATGCTCATTTTACTGATAGGAAACTGAGGCTTAGAGAGGTTAAGAGTGGCCCAAGGTCATCTGCCTAGTAGGTGGGAGAACCAGCATCTATCCCTCCAGCCTAGAGTTTTGTTCACCAAACCGAGTGGTGGTACCCAAGTCTCTATAGCTAACAATCCTGGCAGTTTAGATTTTCCCTTTTATCTGAAAATGGCTTATAGTTTATTCTCTGATGATTTATAATCTGCAAAGGATGGGGATGACGTTACTCCATGGAAGCAATCAGTCTGGTTGTAAAGGGAGTTTGAACCACCTCTGTAGGGCAAAACCATAAAATCCATTATGATGTGAATCCTGGGTTGTAAGAAGAAAAAAGAAAAGAGGGGAAGGGTGGGCAAAGAGCAAGTAAAGAGAATAACAAGCTTTTGGTGTAGCAGCAAGGAATAAGGTACTCCGATTCCCATGAGAAACTCCAAATGAATGAATGAGAGACCTGCACTCAGTCCTTCAGGACATGGTTACTTGCTTAATGTAGGCTCCCGAAGGCCCTATAAACTTTTACACTGGGAATGCAGCTAGAGTGGTATCAGGACTCTTCACTGGGAAAAGAGTGGGCATTAGAGTTCAGAAAATTCTTACAGCAGGAGGCTCACCGAAACTTAATACTTTGTATTCATCCTCCTACACAAACTAAAACTGCTAAACAGGGTAAGATTCTGGATGAGTCCTGGAAATACATGACACTTGGTTTCGAGTATGTGCAAACAATAACCTGTTAATTTCCATTTCTATCCAGTGCAGAAACTAATGTGATAGACCAATTTTATCTTAGATATATGTCCAGACCTGTATTGCATTTTGATAATGCCAAACACTACACAAACCAGGAATAATGATAAGCTAAAACCTACTACAGAGGTATTTGAAATCCGAAATCAGTATTTATAGTATAGAAATGATCCAGGCTCCTGCATGACAGGTGATGGACAGTTAATTGGATTTTAAAGATACTACCCATTTGGGGCATGTATACTTTCAAAAGCAGAAAAATATGAAATATAAATTTGAATTTTCTATGTTTAAATTCTTAAGATTTCAAACAAAATCGTTTTTTACTATCCCTTTACTTTTATATATTATTTGCAAATGACTTAAAAGTATAAAAAAATAAATGAAGAAAAAGGGTCCATTGGCCCAGATGGTGAATGGTGACAACTTTTTCCTGGTATACTAGAGATTATTGAGCTCTATTATATCCTGTTGTATATCAATCATTGAATGAATAAAGGAATGACTCTAGACCCAATTAATAAAGATGTGAGGGACTTTCAAGAAGAATACACAATCAAAGAAGGTAGAATAGAGAGGATATCAAACTGAAGGAAAAATAAATTGTAATTTCAACTTCTGGCCTTGAGAAATGGAGACAAATACAGATGCAGGTTGTAGCAAACGCTGATCTTTTCAGCTGCAGAAAAACTCAAAACTCTACGACTATTCCTGTTCTCATTATTTCAAAGTTATACGGGGGAGCCAATTCCACACCTCCGTTAGTTATAAAGTTGGAGAAGAGCTCTGCATACCTACAGGTATATTATTTATGAAGATACTGTGAGAACAAAGAGTCTCACCACTATGAAAAATAATACATTTCACACCCAAATGCAACTTTGAGCGAGTCTACTGTTTCTATAAGCCAGTGGCAATTCACTGCTTTGCAGCTTGCAGATTTATACCTGATGCAATAATCATAATTCACTTCTTATAGTTTCTGTCTGCTCAACTGATAGTTTGCTTGCACAGAGCAAGGGCATCCAAATATGCTATGCTTAAAACTGATGATGTATACGCAAGAACGTTTACGACAGCATTTTTTTGTATTACTGAAAAAATTGGGGTAACTTAATTAAAACCATAAATATAAGAAGGACTAAAACCACAGTACATTGATATTCTGGAATATTATAGACCCATTTAAAAATGTATATACTGACAAGAAAAGCTGTCCATGATACACATTTTTGAGTAAAAAGAAGTGAGAGAACAACATGTTTAACAAGATCGCATTAAAGAGAATAGATCCTCTCTATGTAGAAACATTACATATCTATTTCCCTTTACGTGTAGATGTAACAAACATATACATTACATATACATGTACATCATATATGTTCGTGTATGGAAAGACTGGAAGGGTACTCATAGACTTGTAAGTGATCATTTCTGGGGAGGAGGAATGAGAGTAAAATGTGCACTTTTTATTTTAAACATTTCTGTATTATATTCTTTTTTTTAACAAGAAAGTAATACATTTATAATTTAAATTCTTTTAAAAGTTAGAGCATATCTGCTGGTAAGATTGTACATTATGAGTGGATATCCACTTTTATGTGCCTTCTCCAGAAGTGCATTGTGCGTGAGACTGGGACTGCAGTGCCTGACTTTTCATCCCTTGCTGAGCTGCTTCCTAGCATCTGGAATTTGCCACTGTCATTTTCTATGGGAAGCATAGAAAAGGCAAATAAGAGGTAACGTGGTTGTTTCATCATCATCCAAGCTCTTGCTGGTGGAAGGCCTCATACTTTAACATTCCAAAGGGCTATGTTGGCAGGCAGGAGCAGCTTTGGACCAACTTGCCAATGGATGACATGATGCAATGACATGACAGCAAATGTTATTATATATGATGAGTGAGAACTTTGTGTGTGACACAAACACATACTGTAGACCACCAGCCAGACTTCATGGTTGCTTCTAAGAGGCGCAGCACTAAGACCGATGGGTTTTTCCACTGCCACTCTCATCCCCCAGTTACTGGGAACCCAAGTTACCGAGAAACATGCAAAGCTGAATTTCAAATTATTTCACAGGAACAGTTTTTCTTCTTTTATTTTTCTCTCCCCACTTTCAACCCCATCAAGGGGAGCTTTCTTGTTTATGGGTTGCTTGACTGCAAGATATCTTTGTGGGAGGGAATTCCCCAAGAATGCTGTCTTGGATAGGTAGGTTATAAAAACACATATGGGCCTGTTGCACTTTCCTAGATATCTGCTTTTGTCAGAAATACGTCCGTTCTTCCACCCTCTTTTTATAAAAATTCATTATTCACCGGAATAAAAGGCACAGCATAGGGAATAGAGCTAATGATACGACACTGTGGTAGTGTCTCATGGTGACAGATGCAGCTATGCTTGTGATGAGCACAGCATAATGCAGAGTGGTTGAATCGCTGTGTTGTACAGCTGAAGCTGATGTAACATTATGTGTCAACTATACTTAAAAAAATTCATTAATTCATCCATTCATTCATTTCTGCAAAGAATGAGCCCCTGTGTGTATACACATGAGCTCACATATGCGCACACACACGCTCTCTCCCGGGTACTGGGATGGTGCGGCAGGCCCATGCAGTCAGCCACGTACTACAGAAACAGGCCAAAGAGAACCGTGGTCCTGTAGCCCTATGGAGGAGCTCACGTGTGCCCCCTGCTCAGAATCTGTGCAGACAGGCAGTTCCTGTGAGGGTGAAAGGCCCGTCTGTAAACTGATCTCATCCCAGTCCTCCTGCTGCCACAGCCCAGCACTGAAGCCAGTGAGGCTGGGGAAGCGCCTTCCCCTGAGGCCAGCCAGGCAGAGGCTCAGGAACATAAAACACATTCCAGCGGTTGGCATCTGGGAGCACAGCTGCCAGGAGCAGCCAGTGTGTGGCCTTGAGGTCTTGGCGTGGGCCAGGGTAAGGTTGGGGGGGAAGGGCTGGAGGATGGCAGGTCCCAGGCCAAGGCATTCAGAAAGCCGCCTGTGGGCCAGTTTGGCTCTACAGGTTCCGGCCTTGTTACCAAGAGCAATAGTTTTATCTAGAAAGTGTGTTGTGGGGGGTTGGAATCCCTCCTGTGGGACAAGGGCTCAGGGGTGTAATGTTGGCACGCCTGGGGCTATGGAGCGGGGGAGGACTCCGCGTACCTCTGTGCTCTCGACTCAGGCCAAAGGGAAACCCCAGACTTACCACAAAGCCATTCCAATTCTGGCTTGGCATCACCAATCAGCTAAAAGCAATTTTTGGAAGACGCTTTCATCTAGCGCTTAGGAGTGCATGCTTGTGTCCAAGGACGTGTGTATACTGTAGGCCTATTTTTAAGAATGAACTCTCTTGATTTTCATTTTTGCAAACAGAATGGGGGGGTGCCCTAATGCTTGTTAGAACTTCAAGGAGTTGGTTTTCAAATGAGAGAGCTTCAGAAATGAGAAATTGTTGAAATTATCTGGTAGCAGCTTTGGAGGGACATTTACCATGTATTTATTTTTAAAATTTCAGTTCATTTGAAAGCTGGGATAGTTAAATTAAGCAAAATCTAAATTAAAAAAAAAATCCCTCGATTCCTCCAGACCTACTTCACATCAACAAACTGGGCCCCCGCTGGAGGCCCCATTAAAATGGCAGCTCCCACTGAGAGAGAGACAAAAGCCCCCTCTCTGAATGGGGATGCTGAAACAGTGATGGGCTCTCAGAACTGCCTTTTTTTTTTTTTCTAATCCATTAAAAAAAAAGTTACCTCTGCATTGACTGTGAGAGAGTATTTATTTAGCTCTCCACACTGTGGGAAACGGGGGCGTTCTCCCTTATAAGGACACCCAGACCTTCTTGGGAGAGGAGAGAAATATGAATCCATAACATGGCTGAAAAAAATTCCTCCTCACAACTGAATTCATGGAATGTTTTGGATGTGAACAGCTTAATTTTGGTGTGGTCTGGGACAAATTAATATGACTTGAATCCCACCTCACACAGGAAGCTTCTCCTGATGATGTGGGTGGGGTTAGCATACTCACTTCCCTCAGAATTCTAACAGTCCTCTCTATTACATTTAAATGCGGCTCCCCCTCCGCCCCAGCAAGAAAAACTTTAGGAATAGAGAAATCAAAAAAGGAATGGAGAAATTGTATCTAAATGGAAAATGTATCTAAAAAACCTAACTGTGCAAAGTATTCAGTATAGGACTGTGATATTTTAGGTTACATGAATCTTACAAGAGTCTTCATGCAACAGAAGAAAAGCTCCTAGAGGGTGGTCCAGGACCTTTGTATCTGGGGACTAAAGATATTAAACACAAGGATTGCCCTTCCAGCATTTTTCATGAAGCCCCGGGAATGGTTATTCCAATCACACAGGCTTAGGGACTAACAAGGAAGCATCATCCTCTTCTTCCAGAAGATGAACGAGGCTTTCACCTTAACTCTTAATCAGACAGTTCTGTTGTGTCATAGATGGTTCAGTCTCTTTAGCAGAGAAGGATGATTACCTGCATCTTAAAATGAACTTTGACGTCATCCTTTCCAGAACTAAATTTCTTTACTTTTGCACATTGGGAATAAAGAATTATTACCTCATATGGAAGTAGGTTCTTGGGTGAAAACTACTGTAAATATCAGCTATGTGCTTTGAATTTGGGAACCCACTTGCAGATTGCTCACACACTTTACCTCTTTAGTTACCATGTATTTGTAGAAGGGAGTAGTAAGAAAGATTACTTCTTGATGATCAATAATAGAAATCACTTGTATTTGGCTTTGAAATGCATCATATGCTTATTCTTTCTGCAGACATATGCACATAATTATGTCTGGGTTCAGTTACTGTTAAAAGTAGATTACTTTCCCTGAATCACGGATCTTCAAGAGAAGTTCTCCAAGAAGCAAGGTGGGTTGTTAGGCACTTAGGGGTGGAAGCCCAGGCAAGATGCCATTTTTGAGATGCCCTTAGGCTAATGTAACCAGATGAGGGTAGTGAGACTGAGAGACCATGAAATAGGGACAGAACTAGCTGACAAAACCACTCGGCGGGACCTGTCTCTGTAGTGGGGAGGGCTGTAAAAGCAATCTAAGACAGGGCTCCTATTCCAGACTAGGCTTCTCAGAACATGTCTCTCTCCATATGGATCTATAATACATCATTTTTCTATCAGAATAGTATTTTGCCCAAGAATAATAGAGCCGTGTAATTTATTATCACTGATAGAAGTCTCTGAAAAATGTTTATCAGTAAAAGGTACAAATTTATGCATTCCTTTTTTACTATAGGAATTACAGGCCTTTGGAGATAGAAAGAACATCCTTGAGAATGGGTTTTCAGATGCTTTTTCCCCTAGTAGTAGATTCCTTTAAAAAATAACATAAAAATAAATACAGGCCTACATGGAATTCTAATATGTAAAATAACACCAGGGCATCTTACTGAATGAGGAAAAATTTAGGGCCCAGAAGCTTGTTTTGAAAACCACTGTGTGAACATGGTTTTCAAACCTCCTGAACAGGAAGCTGTACAAATCACCTGAGAACGCAAAAGGACAGTAACAAACAGATGTCCTCAAATATTAGGGAAATAGGGTCGTTGTGCTATAAGAGCACTTAATACAGAGATGGAGAACGAGGGTTTGCAGCAAGTCACCAAAGGTTACACAACTACTTTGTGACAAACTCAGGACCCAAATTCATTTTTTTTCTCCCACTTGCAAGCCACCGTATGATGCTGTCTTTGGAGTCTGGAATGCCTTTGAAATCAGACTGTATGACACTCTAATCAATTTTAATGATCTACAGCTTTTAGAAGTTGGTAAAAGAATTTTATAGCAAAGAACAACTTTCTACATTTTTCTTTGCTGCCGCAAAACTGATCATGATTCTCAGAGACATTTTTATGTTAATAATAATCATTTTTTATACTTCTTTGGCCTGGTGTGCACGGTTTAAACACCGTCACTTGCATTCTGGAGTTGGACATAGGACACGACGTCTCCGACTAGTAAATCCCTTGAATGAGTGCATTTCCCCCTCTGTGCGTGTCTCCTTCTCGTCCATTGTCTGTCTTCTTTTCATGCCTGTCAGGCGGTGGCCATGACTGTGCACTTATAAAGGTCAGTGACCCAGCAGAGAGGGCAGGCCCTGCAGAAGGCCTGTTGATGAAGCATTTCAATGCACGCTGAATTTGTTAGCTCTCTGGCTTACTCCCAGGGGCAGGGTACAATTGTCTCCTGTGTGGCATGGCACCCACCCGGAACTCTTACGGTATGGGCCATTCCAACCAGGAATCTCTAAACCACATCCTACAAAAGAAACACCCGGCATTTCCCAGCTTACTAAATTCTTTTACCTGGCTCTCCTTCCCTTAATTTGTCTAGTATACCCAGTAAAATGAATTAAAACAAAGGCTTCCCTTATTTACATAAATGGTCAGTCATAGAGATGCTTTCAAAGGAGTATTTGTAAAACGGAGAGGCCACATGGACAGTAAACTCCCATCTTTCAGGCTGAAGAGTTTTAGAAGGCTATTGTTCTCAGCTTCTCCCTATGACAAATTCTAAATTAAGCAAAAGCAGACTTGGTATTTCTTTTGAGCTTGTCTCAAGGAAGGCAAGGATTTGGTTCTCTGTTTGGAGCATCTACCTTTTAGTAAAGCAACAATGATCTACCGGTGGAAACCACTGACTGAAAAATGAAAGGCTCATCCCAAATTTCAAACTGCTGCAATCTTTGCTGCAAGTAAAGAAGACAGCTCTTACTTGGATGAAATCAAATGAAAAAGTTATGGGTGTGTGTTCTGGTTCTGGTCATAATGGAGTACCATGTACTAGATTATCCTCCCTACAGATAGCAGTTATAAGCTCTAGACAAAAATATTAAAGGATAGCTATTTAAATGTATTGGACAGAGACAAAAGCAGGCAGAAACCGGAGGGAGTTTGATCCTTGAAGTAAGGAACCATACTGGATAAGATCCATATGTTTATGGATTTTCTTGAGGATGCTCTAGAGTCCACTTCGTACAAGACAACTAAAACTCAAGCAGAAACTCATAGTCTCATTGGCCTGAGGATTTGGAGAATGGAGTTTGGGAGCTATCATAGTGACTGGAAATTGAGGAGTGAAAATCCCAGAAAGAGGAACCATAGAGGGAGTAGTCCCCAAATCTACTTATATAATCCTCTCAAATCCTTGTTTAACCCCTGAACTACACACATGCAGGGGAGATTCCAAGTTGCCCCATGGAAAACTATAGCTGGGAGGCTGAAAGAATAGAACAGAGATTTCAGCTTCTGTCCACTGCATGGAGACAGAGTGTAGAATCTGAGTCATGCCGAGTTTGAGGAGGTTCATAATTTTTCAAGATTTTTACTTAAACCCCAGAAAGTCACACCCTACATATAAAGACTAGATATCATATTTAAGGGATTTGCCCTAGGCCTAATGACAAAACTGAAACAGACCCCATCAAAGCCTCAAACCAAGTCTCTCCAAGTTCAGGGTGATCAGCCAGTAATATAATTACCAACTAGAACAAAATTCAATACTGTTCAGAGGAAAATAACAGAAACCAGAGTCTACAGGAAATCCTTTACAATGTCCAGTATATAATAAAAAATTACTAGACATATGATGAAACAAAAAAAAATGTGATCAAATAGTAAATGACAAAACATGACCAAGATGCTACAAAGACTTTAATGCAGCTATTATAAATTTTAAAAGGATTTAAAGAATAAGATAATAATAATGGGCAGACATGTTGGGAATTACAGCCAAGATATGAAAACTATAAAAATGAACCAAATGGAAATTCTTAGAACTAAAAAATATAATATTTAAAATAAAATTCAACAGATAGGCTTAAGAGTAGTAGAAAGGGTCAGGAAACTTAAAGACATCAATAGAAACTATCCAATCTGAAGAATAGAGAAAAAAATGTTTTACGAGTATGTGAAAAGAACTTCAGGGTCCTGTAGGAAAATATCAGTCTAAAAATAATTTACTTGGGCTCCCAGAAGAGGAAAGAGGAAGAGAAAAAAAATTAAGAAATAGAGGAAAATCACCCAAATTTGTTAGAAAACATCAAATTATAGATCCAAGCAGCTCAGCAAAGTAAGTACAAAAAAACCCAACATCTAGGCCCAGTTTAGCCAAGTTTCTGAAAACCAACAATAAAGAGAAAATCCTGAAAAGCTGTCAGAGGAAAAAGCCATCACATAAAGGGGCAGTGATACAGATTATCACTGGCTTTTCAACAGAAACAATTGAACGTCTTTAAAGTGCTAAATGATAAATTTGGCTCATCTAGAATTCTACATCCAGCAAAACTATCCTTCAGAAATGAAGGTAATGTCTGACTTCCTAAAGATACGTTGAATAAAACTTTTCAGGCTAATTGAAAATGATCAAACTCAGATCACTGGAAGCAAGAAAGAATACCAGAAATAGTTATACAAAAGTTGATAAATGTAAAATACGTTATCTTCCAGTTAAAAAAAAAAGAGCTCACTGTTTAAAGCAAAGTTTATAACACTGTATTTTGGCATTTATAATACACACATATGTAATATGTAACTGGGCATTTATGGAATTTTACTGTTGCTGGATTTTTATATTTTACATGAGGGAGTAAAATATTCACTCTAAGGCCATGGTAAGTTAAGAATGCATAGTTTAATTCCTAGAGCAATAACTTAAACAACACAAAAAGGTAGGGTTTAAATCCAAACAGAATTAAAATGAATATTCTAAAAATGTGATTAACTCAAAATAGTGTAAGGAAGGATAAACAAAGGGAAACAGGGCAAATAGAAAACAAATAGAAAAATGGTGAGCCTAAATTCAATTATATCAATATTAAATATAAATAAGCTCAGCACCAATTAAAAGATAGATATTGCCAAATAGCATTAAAAAAAGCAAGATTCAGCCATATGTAGTCTATAAGAGCTATAAAAAGACTAGCAGGTTGAGAATAAAAGTGAAGAGACATTCATGCAAACTATAAGCAAAAGAAATATGGTGTGGCTATATTAACCCAAGCAAATGTGGACTTTGAACAAAGGGTATTACCAGAGTTTAAAGGCATGCCATAATGATAAAATGCTCAATTCAATAGGAAGACATAATAATCTCTGTCAAATAAATAAATAAAATCTTTAAAAAATATAGGGCCATGATTAACAAATTATGGCCATCTAGGTTAATACTGTGCAGTTGTTACAAGAAAGTATAAATATTATGTGTATGAGATAGTTTCATGTGAAAGAACCGGACTATAGAACAACATGAATAATATTATCTCAGTTCTGTAAAAATAACTCCCTTCCTTTTCTTTGCTTCTCTCCTTCCTTTTTCTTTGTAAATGCATAGGAAACGCCATAAGGATACGCATCAAAATATTATCAGTCGTTACCACCTGGAGAAAGGGAGTGGAAAGATGGCAGGTGAGAACTTTAATCTTTTTTTACTTTCTATATACCTACATAGTTTAATTTTTCTTCTCAATGAATGTATGGTTGTTTTGTAATTAACATTTTTTCTAATTTTCTTGAGATGTAATTGACATATAACATTGTATTAGTTTAAGGTGTACAACATGATGATTTTTTTTAAAGATTTTATTTATTTGACAGAGAGAGACACAGCAAGAGAGGGAACACAAGCAGGGGGAGTGGCAGAGGGAGAAGCAAACTCCCCGCTGAGCCGGGAGCCCGATGCGGGGCTCGATCCCAGGACCCCGGGACCACGACCTGAGCCGAAGGCAGACGCTTAATGACTGAGCCTCCCAGGCGCCCCAACATAATGATTTGCTGTATGTATGGATTGCAAAATGATTTCCACAGTAAGCTTAGTTAACATCCATCAGCTCACATAGTTACATTTTTTTCCTTGTGATCAGAACTTTTAAGATCTGTTCTTTTAGCAATTTACAAATATACAATACAGTATTATTTACTCTAGTCACCATGCTCTACATTACATCCCCAGAACTTAATTTATCTTATAGCTAGAAGTTTGTACCTTTTGACCACTTTCATTCATTTCCCTATCACCCCCTCTTCCTGGCCCCACCTCACCTCTGGTTGTTTCAAAAAGAAAGGAGGAAAAGGAAAGGAAGGGAGAGGATGGAAGGATGGAGGAAAGGAGACAACCGTTATCTGTACTTGCAGAGCCAAAGGACCCCTCCTCGTCAGTGCTCATTACCGACCAGGCCTTGGAAGAACGACTTCAGGTAGGGCCAGATTCGATCCCAATTGCCAATAGTTCCTGTTTCTAAAGACAGAATAGGAGGGCGCCTGGGTGGCTCAGTTGGTTAAGCGACTGCCTTCGGCTCAGGTCATGATCCTGGAGTCCCGGGATCGAGTCCCACATCAGGCTCCCCGCTCAGCGGGGAATCTGCTTCTCCCTCTGACCCTCCTCCCTCTCGTGCTCTCTATCTCTCATTCTCTCTCTCAAATAAATAAATAAAATCTTTAAAAAAAAAAAAAGACAGAATAGGAGATCCCACAACTTCCCTTGGTGACCATTTTCATTTTTTTTTTTATTTTTAAAATATTTCTTTATTTTAGAGACAGCGAGAGAGAGTGAGTGGGGGAGGGGCAGAGGGAGAGAATCTTGCAGCAGACTCTCCGCTGAGCAGGGAGCGCAGCTCGATCTCACGACCCTGAGATCAGGACCTGAGCCGAAACCAAGAGTCAGATGCCCAACTGACTGAGCCACCCAGGTGCCCTGGTCACCATTTCCATTTGTAATGATCTTTACAATGAATATTACTTTCTTATGTCTGAGTACCTCTGTCCCTAGTGTAGAAACAAAACAGCTGATCATCACATGTTAACACACAGTGTTAACTTTCAATTACCCATATTAAAGTTAAGGGAGGAGCAGTGACTTGGATAAGGAAACCCACCCCCACTTCCTATTTTCATGTTTCCTTTTTTAGAGTCCATCACTGTAAAGCTCAAGAACCTGAAGAACAGAGGTGCACTTGTACAGCCCGGGAGTCCCATACAACTCAAAGTCCTGCTCTGTCTCCTACCACCTGTTCCCTTGGGCAAAGTAATTAACGTTCCTAAACCTCAGTCTCATTTGGAAGTGATTATAATCATAATGGTGATGGTGATGGTGATAACAATCCCTCCTACCTTGCAGGCCAGGTGTAAGAATTTTAAGAATTAGTTAAAGCACCTTGCTCGTAGTAGGTGCTCAATCGGGATTATATTTAATCCAACCCTCTAAGGTAACCAAGAGTGCTAGTGGAGTAGAGTGGACGTAAGAACTCACATCTCTTTACGTCAAGGATTGGTCTCTACATTACAGGGTTTCTGTTAAAGAGTCTCTTTGACCACGATAACTTTCGGGCTATTACTACCTTACCTGACCGTTGCTCATTGCTGCCTCCCGTGTTGAGACCCGCTTTGTAGTTGAGGAGAGCCTTATATACAGTAGTCCCGGCTCATCCGCTACTTGGCTTTCTGTGATTTCAACTTCCCGACGACTTCCGGACAACCGCGATCCGGAAGCGGATGATCCTCCTTCTGAGGCCCTCCGCCGTAATGCCTACGTCATTCCCCTCACTTAGTCTCATTACGTAGGCATTTTATCATCTCACATCCCAGGAAGAAGGGAGAGTACTGTGTAATAAGATATTTTGAGAAAGAGACCACATTCACATAACTTTTATGATAGTAACTATTATAATTGTTCTATTTTATTATTAGTTATTATTTTTAATTTCTTACTCTGCCTAATTTATAAATTAAATGTTATCATAGGAATGTATGCACAGGAAAAAACAGCATGTATAGGCTTCAGTCCGCAGTTTTAGGGGGGGCTCTTAGAAAGTATCCCCCCATGGTTAAGGGGTGGGAGGACTAATGTACACATATTCCAGAATGTAAAGGGTTATTCTCTACGTGAGGATGGTGGGCCGTTTATTCCTTCAACCTCACTAGAAAGGTTCACGCTAAAGGAAATGGGATTATTTTCACCAGGAGGGATTTAGATTAGACGGGAAGAAGAACTTCCTGACTGATGATTTCCTTCCCTGCAGTCCTTAAAAATAGAATAGGTGCCCATTTTTTCAGTTTTAAGATGCAGGCAGTTAGAATAGATGGTTTTTCAGGATCTCTTTTAATATTAATATTACTTTTGTCACAGGCTGTGTTTCTAAGAGGAACTCACCCTATGCACATCTATGAATTAAAGAATATAGAGGGATATTTGTTCCCAAAGCAATAGGAAATACTTTTTGTCTTGACTTTGTCTCTTTAAAGGCCTATAAAATCATACAAAACAGCTTTAGCAAGCTAAAAAATAATCCATGGGAAATACACAGGGAGAGATTTAGAGAAGTATTGTGTGATCAAAATTTACTTTTGTATAGCACATTAGAATTATTTATTATAAATGTTATTATTTATAGGTATATGAATGAACCCTAAAAGGGCTTTGGACTGGGTCCGAAATCTAATTCTTTGGACTGGTTGTTCTAACCTGTAATTTTACTCCTCCATGTGGGCAAATGAAAATAAATATAAAGTAACACTGACATCTAGTGGATTCCCTGTGTTACTGCCATTGTTTGAGGTGGAGCTTAAACTCAAATTTAACTCCAGTGTCAGAAATTGGACTGGGATTGGACCTGAGAGTCCCTTCTCCTTATTTTAACAGTACATTAAAAAAAAAGTTTCCAAACATATGTTAGCACTTAAAAATTGTTATTTTATTGTTGTTTTCTAATTTAGTTTTATTGTGGGAACAGAATGTGATCTATGTGATAGTGACTTGGAATTTGTTGAGACTCCTTTGAAAGCTAACCTGTGCTAGTTCTTGTTATTGTTCTATGTGCTCTTGAAAGAAAATATACTCTTCTTTCGTTTTGTTTGTTTTTGTTTTCTGCAGAGTTCTTATATATAACCATGCAGCCTAAATACTAATTTGGTTGTCCAAGTTTTCTATATCCTAAGGATGGGGTGGGGGGGTGCGGGAGTTACTCAATTTATTATATTGTGATACAAATAAGATAAAAGTCTTCCCCATGATTGTGAGTTATCCAAATCTCATTACACTTTTGTCAGGCCTTTTGCTTTTTGTATGTGCATGGTTAAATGCACCTAAATTCATGGTTTTTAAATCTTAATGAAATGGTCTTTTAAATTGTGTAGTGTCTTTCTTTATCCCCATTATTGCCTTTTGCCTTAAATTCCATTTCGTATATTGTTAGTATTGCTACAGTAGCTTCCCTTGGGAAATCATTTGCCTGTATTTCTTAAGTCCTTTTATCGTTATTAACCTTTCTATGCCCTTTTATCTAAGTTGTGTCTCTGGTAAGCCTTACATGGCTGGCTCTAAAAAAAATCTGAGGATCTGTTTTTCAACAGTGAGTTTATTCTTTTTACAAATACTGTGATTTCAATAGTGAGCTTATTCTTTTTACAAATACTGGTCACTGATATATGTAAACTTACTTCCACCACCTTATTTTTGTGTTTTTTTTATTTACTGTTTTTTCTTTGTACTTTATTTTTCTTTTTTCCTATGATCTGTTGGGTGTGTGTGTGCGTGTGTGTGTGTGTGTGTATATATATATATATATATATATATATATATATTCTTTTCTCTACCATTTTAGGATACATTGTACTACTAGTTTTCTTTTAGCTGTCTTTTTTTTTTTTTAAGTAGGCTCCATGCCCACTGTGTAGCCTAACATGGGGCTTGAACTCATGACCCTGAGATCAAGACCTGAGCTAAGATCAAGAGGCGCTCAACTGACCGCGCCACCAGGTGCCCCTCTTTTAGCTCTTTTTATTTTTTTTATTTTTTTTAAGATTTTATTTATTTATTTGAGAGAGAGAGAGCACGAGAGGGAAGAAGGTCAGAGGGAGAAGCAGACTCCCTGCTGAGCAGGGAGCCCGATGCGGGACTCGATCCCAGGACTCCAGGATCATGACCTGAGCCGAAGGCAGTCGCTTAACCAACTGAGCCACCCAGGCGCCCTCTTTTAGCTCTTTTTAACATGAAATTGTTCAACTATAAAGATAAGTATATGACACCCCACGTGCCCTCCTCCCGGGTTGAAAAAGTTTTAATAACCCTAGGATTTGGCTGTAACTGCCTCAGGTTTATTAAATAAGAAAAAAATTACAGATTCAGTTAAAGTCTTTGTGTATCCCTCTTCAATCTCATTTTTCCTTTTCTCTCTCTCAAGAATTCACCTCTATTATGAATTTGATGTTTATTAATTCCACATTTGCTTTAAAATTTTATTTTGTATTTTCTAGTTTTAAATGTTTTTCTTTTTCTGGTTTAAACATCTACATGAATATCTTTCTTATCAACATTATGGTTTTGACATCCATTTGTGTTCACTGATACGCATCTGTTTTACCCCTTTAATTCCTAAGTTGTAGTATTCCATTTGTTATATACACATTTTTGTTCTACCTATTCTCCTGTTGATGGATAATTAGTTTTTCCCTAAGTTTTTCTTATTTCAAGTAATGTTAGAATGATGTTCTTTCACCTTTCTCCATGTGCACATGTGTGAGAATTTCTTTAAAGCAACTGTTTTTGTCTATGCACCCCTAAAATAGTCTTGACAAACCATGTAATTTCTTGGACATTTTAAAGATAGTATTTATATGTTTTCATTTAAAATATTAATAGTGGCAAATTAGGTGATTTTCAGTTTATTGTAAATATCACTATTTTAAAACACAACTGTTCAAAATATATAAATGTCAAAGCAGATTGATAGGCACCATCACCACCAATATAAAGAAACATAAGAAGTTCTATTATATAATCTGAAATTTCACAGTGCTCCTTTTCCAACTTCAACTCAGGTTTCCAATGCACTCTACAGAGTTTTATCCTAATACATTTTTTGATGTTTGAAAATATTTTCTCTATTGCCCTATCATATTTCTCTACAACAAAATATACATCAAAAATTTAAAAATGTTTTTTTCTCTGTGATCAAAAACTCTGAATGTTAAAACATGTTACTCTGAATTGAGTTATTAGCACCATTATAAGCAATACAAAATTGATCAAGGCAACAAAATAATTATTTTGGTGAATGGTTATTAAGCAAAAATATTAAAATTTTACTAAAAGCATATTTGATAAAATATATTTGAGTGTTTTTCCACTAGTTTCTGTATCTATGAAAAAATAATAATTATTGCTAGGAAGTTATGAGATCAGCATCAATCCTATTCCTGCTTTTAATTTTTATAGCTGAAGCTGCTGAGAATCTTGTTCATATAAAGAAGTGGATGAGAATGGAGTATTTTGCCAAAACTATGTCAATTATTTGAACTTATGATGAGTTATACTGTAAAAAATAATGTAATTATCTATCATAAATGTTAATGGTCTGTCAGCTGACAACTCAATTAGATCTGCCTTCAATTTTGTTGAAAGCAAAGATTTGGAAACACCCCGACTTACAAAATATTTTGTCATACAGTTACTATAGTCATTTACTCTCTCAGATTTTGGGAAATATACCGGAAAGATTTTAGCGGTCCTATGGAAAAATCATACCTGTTGCTGTTTTACTTAGAGGCATCTTGTTTAAACCAATATAATCAGAAAGTTTGGGGAAAATAGGGGCGCCTGGGTGGCTCAGTTGGTTAAGTGCCTGCCTTCGGCTCAGGTCATGATCCCAGGGTCCTGGGATCAAGCCCCGCATTGGGCTCCCTGCTCGGAAGAGAGCCTGCTTCTCCCTCCCCCTCTGCCTGCTGCTCTGCCTACTTGTGCTCTCTATCTCTCTGTCAAATAAATAAATAAAATCTTTAAAAAAAAAAAAAGAAAGTTTGGGGAAAATAAATATATTGTTAATTTCAATGCAGCTTTGCTAATACAATAATTTTTATAAACAGCTATAATTTCATGTTTTAAAGATATTTTCATCAAAATCTATTTATCTAATTCTAGTTCATTGAAAATGGCAACCTGAAATTTAATTTGCAAAGCTATCAGCCAATTAAAGCTTCTGTTAGAAAAACGTGACTTCATTTTAAAAAATTTATGTGTGTTAATACACTTTTCAAGGTATATTATGAAAGCCAATGAGAAATAAAAATGCATCTTGTAAAATAGACTAATAGAAGAGGAGGTTAATGTGATATATACATATATCACTGTGATATATATAACTATATATATAGCTCTAATATAAATTATTTTCATAAATCATAATATAAACTAGGACAGTAGCAATGTTTTTCATTATTTAATTTGAAGTAACACAATGTAATATGTAGCAAAAATAACATGATATATGTGCAAAGGAGTAAGCAAAGACATGGGACTTCTTTTGGTAAGAAAGTGTGTGTGTGTGTTCAAACTCCCATTTTTATCTTCTGGAAATAATTAGGAATCATGTAAAAAAATTAGAAATAATTTTTTAAAAGATTTTATATATTTATTTGGCAGAGAGATACAGAGAGAGAGCAAGTAGGCAGAGAGGCAGGCAGAGGGAGAGGGAGAAGCAGGCTTCCCGCTGAGCAGGGAGCCCGATGCGGGGCTCGATCCCAGGACCCTGG